GTGCCGGGCATGGTATATTGGCTGATGATCCCGTGATCTTTACAAAAATAATGGAAAGATCCAGGAGCTTGACCAATATCAGTGTGTCGGCCATAGAACTCTCCACCTCTATTTGATCTCACTACTTTGATCTTTCGATCAAGTTGATTTTCAACTTCAGCTTTATAAGCTTTGAACATATCTAGTGATTCGGATTTTTCCTTAATCAAATATAGGTACATATAGCGTGAATAATCGTCTATGAAAGTAATAAAGGACTTATGATCACTAATGGAATCAGGAAAAGACCCACAAATATCGGTATGTATTAATTCTAACAAACCGGTGCTTCGTGTGACACATTCCTTATTTTTCTTAGACAACTTCCCTTTCAAACACTTCACACACTTGTCATAATCTGAGAAGTCAAGATTTGGAAGAATGTCATCTTTCACGAGTCTTATCATTCGATCTCGTGCTTCTCTTCCGCCAACTCACTAACATTTTGTTGTTTCTCCAAATCATGTTGAAGAAATGTGTTAGTCACTCAATGCCTTTCTCTCCCAAACTTCTCCAAACCTCGATCGGTTTGGATCCTTCTCATGAAGTCATGATTAATCATACACTCTCGTATAGTAAGATCATCAATATCTTGCACTTTATTCATGTCGACCAAGGTATCAAAGTATGACCTCCACCTCTCTTTTATTTCCCCGTCCTCCATTAGTGCCCTTTGATCAACATCCTTCACACACTTAACTTTTTCGATATCTTGAGTCTTACGGTCATGAAGGCGAGCAAGTCTGTAAATATCTTTTTCTCCTTCCTTAGAGTCCAATTTTACATACAATTCCTTGTTCACTTTTCATCTTGCTTCCTTTACAACTTTCTTTGTTCTTCTTCTAGCCTCCTTGTACTTCTCTATGTTCTCGTAACTCCAACTTTTGCCCAATTTCTTATAGCATTCCCTTTTGGTCCTTATTGATTGTTTCACCTCATTATTCCATCAAGATGTGTCCTTTTTTGGTGGTACACACCTTTAGATGCTCTGAGTATCTCCTTCGCCACTTTGTTAACTGTGGACTCCATTATTAACCACACATCATCCACATGTGCGTCAATATCAATAGACCATACATCTTTCTCTAACATTTTGTGTGCAAAACTTTGTTAGAGATTCCTCTCAAGCCTCCACTACTTTATCATTGGCTCCCCTTGTACCTTAACACACCTTCTCTTTTTACCTTGAAAATCAAGCACAAGCATCCTATGTTAAGTGACAACACTCTCACATGAGATAACCTTGCAATCAGTGTAGCTAGTTTTCCAAGTCGTTCGTACTAAAAAGTCGTCAATTTGGATACTATTAGCTCCACTGCTATAGGTCATAAGGTGAGAGTCTCTTTTTCTGAACCAAGTGTTCATCACAACCAACTCATATGTCGAGGCAAAATACAGAATGTTCTTCCCCGCTTCATTTCTAGTGCCAAAACCATGTCCACCATGGATACTCTCAAAGCCATCACGCCTTAGGGCCACATGCCCGTTGAGGTCACCTCCTATGACCAACTTATCTCCCTTTGGCACGCGTCGCACCACTTCCAGAAAATAGCATGCACTAGTTGAAAGATGTTATTGTTTGCATTTACCCCAACCACAACTAATAACTGCCCTTCTACAACTTCTCAACCTTTATTGAGATGCTTTCCAACACATGTACATCCTCAAAAAAATTGTTGTCCATCCACTTTTATGTTTTCACTCAACTTTATACAGTTTATTGTACATGTGGTAAGTGGATTCGTCATTCTAATTCACATATAATCATACCTTATTAAAGCGGACTTCCTTTTCACCTCTAAGATTTGTTTTTGCCTTGCACGTTGCTCATTAAGTCTGGTTAAATTTGACTGACATGGAACCGTTCACCAGTATCACACCTTTTGTCTGAATTCTCTGGTCTTTCATATTGAGTGACTTTGAATCTCATTTAATCACCTATTAACAACCTTGGCTGAGAGTACCATTTTGTTGTGATACATCCAAGAACACCCATCATGTGTGTCTTGGAACTTTAATTTCATCTAAGAGTGAGAATTCACTACCTCTTCTTAGATTGGTCTTCCATTAACTACTTGCACCGGACAACAACTCTTTCATCGTCATTTTTTACAAATTTAACCTCTTTACCCATTTTAAGAGAATAATTTTCAATTGCTTGTTTGAATTCATTCTTAGCACAAGATATCATTCCCAGCTTCAAGGATGGGTTTTTAGAATAAGTTTGGGCACAAAATGTACTCCACCTTTTAGCATTAGAATCTTAGCATTAGAATCAAAGTCATGTATAGAAGCATCATGAGACAATTTTGGATCAGGGTCTACCAATGATAGTTCAGTTTATGTATTTTTGTCCTTTGGTCTTGGTGTGCAATCCTCCATATTCAACTATTGGATCTTTGTTATTTTTAAAATCAACACTATCTTTACAAATGAAGTCCTCTAGATCAGAATCTTTATCATTATGAGAAAAGTCTTTTAGGTCCTACTCACTACATGCATAATTAATGTCTTGAATGGTCATCATCTACATCTCCACACTCATTCACTTCATCTAATTCAACCCATAACTCCATGACCTTACCCACACTACTTGTAACACCCCCAAATTTCCCACCCAAAAATACATTTAAATAATAATTTATTGGAAAGTAATACTAACTTTATTTGAAAACGTCAGAAAATGTGAAGCGGAAAATTTAAAGGGAATTAGGGGTGCTACCGCCACACTCAGTTCTCTCTTAACCGAGTGTCACAATCTACCCTCCTTAAAAGATGTTTCGTCCCGAAACATAAACTAAGACCTTATGTCAAAAATTTTGAGTATTACATTCTACCTTCCTTCAAGAGAGGTTACGTCCGTGTGTCTAAAACACTACTTTTATCATTTTGACCACTTAACTTCTTTTCTCACAAGTCTCTTAAATTTTAAAGCATTCAAAAAGTCCCTACACTATTTGAACCGCAGTGTCCTTCACTAGGTTCATACTAAGCTCTAACACATATAGACATTCAAAGATGCCATCAAACTTCATATATTTCACACAAGCAAACAACTACATAAATTTCACAACTCAGTCATATAAATCAATAACTTGAAAATCTCACATTATATTCTCACCGCGTTCTTAAAAGGTCTCTCCCTAGTCATTTTCATTTCCTAATTTTATAAAAATGTGTTCAAAAACTCTTTGAGAAATCTACCAGAAAAATCTTTGGAAAACGTTTTGAAAAAAAAATCCCCAATTAAAACCTTAGGCTCTGATACCATTTGTAACACCCCGGCCTCGCAGGACCTGAGGTAGCTACTCTAGACCAATAGTATTGTCCTCACAAACCACCATGAGCCTTTACCGCGCACTTTGTCCTCACTCATGCGCGCCCTGAGAAACTTCTCAGGGGGTCACCCATCCCAAGACTACTCTTGTGCAAACACGCTTAACTTTGGAGTTCTTGGGTGATGAGCTCCCTTAAAAGGAGATGCACCCCTGTTGGTATGAGTAGTACTATTAATCCGTTTAAATTAAATATCAAGTATTACAATCACCTCCACTTAGGAACGCAACGTCCTCGTTGCGCCCAAACATCAATCTCAATCATATCCCAGAATCTTTTCCCCTACTAAGTGCCCGCCCGATATCCAACGGATAAGCACACCGTCGCAGGATTGCTCTGATACCATTTGTAACACCCCCAAATTTCCCACCCAAAAATACATTTAAATAATAATTTATTGGAAAGTAATACTAACTTTATTTGAAAACATCAGAAAATGTGCAGCGGAAAATTTAAAGGGAAATAGGGGTGCTACCGCCACACTCAGTTCTCTCTTAACCGAGTGCACAGGCTAAAACAACTTAAACTTCAAAATCAAAAGCTCACTGATTAAAGTTATTGAAAAAGAAATTTACAGTGATTTACTAATAATGTTTTCTAGCGAAAGCTCTCTCTCAAAATCAACTTCAACATCGATCAACTCAACACCTGTACAAAAATCATGTACAGAAAGAAAAATAAAAGAAACAAACATTAGCAATAATGCTAAGTAAGTCCCACCTAACCTTTTAAAATAATAATAATAATATATATATAAATTCGTACAACCGTCAGTATAAAAATATTTTCAAAACACTTTACAAATCATAAGTAAATGATATCTATACAAAATCCCAATCACAATCTCATGAACCATAATAATTCCAAAATACATGAAACACCAAAATTTCTCCTCTATTGAATTTCTCCAAAAAAAAATCACTTTGTTACTAACTTCCTAGTAATTTAGAAGGGCGGTGCTCAACATTTTGGTTGAGCCCGGTGGTCCGTTGTTATGTACGGCCACCCCGGGACTATCGCCGGTACCACAACTGCTCAATGGAAACGGAAACAACTACCTTAAGTGTGCACACCCCCTAGAGGTATTCCAAGCCCTTCGGGTTAGTAAGTCGATCCGGGTAGCCGGGATGTTTTCTACCAACTACCCCACCTCAAAACGTGAATGATTATGAGCTACTACTACCACTACTACTCAAAAGTCGGGATGTTTTCTACCGACCGTCAATTCACCTCAAACCAAAACCACAAAAAATTGAGTAGTAGTAGACCTAATCATCCTCCACATTTTAAGGGACGTGGAAAACCAACACCACGGATTTCTCCCGTGATGCCCACCTTTCATAAAAATATTTATTTTTCTCAAAATCAATCGAAGTTTATACTTCAAAAATTCCCTTTTCATCAAACTCCCACAAAGATAACAAATTACAAAATATCCCAAAATCGTATACAATAACTCATATCAACAAAACAATATAGCAACTAATATCTCAAACACAACCCCTTTCATATAATAATATTCACTCAAATTCAGCACACATAAATTCAATTCTCAAATATGCACACAAAATATTTAAAAGAAATCACGAAGAAAAAGAACTAATTTCGGTTGACGTGAAACTTACCTCAAATTGTGATAATTCCTAACCGAAGCTTCTTCCTCGATATTCTCGTAATCACCTTCTATGAATATTAAAATTGTAAAATTATTAAAATACTTTTCAAATGATTAATTAGCCCAACTCATTACTAATTTTAGTTAATTTTCATGTGATCCGTAGATACCAAGTATATGTAAAATTATTCCAGTTTATTTATTATACTAATGTTAATTTGTAAATTAACTACATCAGCCCACCACAAAATATATACCATTACGTATATATATATACACACGAAGTATATTGTTACATATATTCGCAGGTTTTCCTTCTCTCCGGCGACAACTCGTCCGGCGAACTCCGGCGAGTGATTTCACCCTCGTTTCATGACCGTTTTCTACGATTCTTTCACCGTTGTATTCCTCTCATCAAGAAGAAAATTGTGGGAGTGATTATATGTCTCGTTTTTGGGTATAAAGAAAGGTTGAAATTTTTGTATATATATATATATTACGTATATATGTGTGTATATTAGTATATATGTATAGCTGCGTGTGAATTTGTTTTCATGTGTGTTCAGAAAAGCTTGAGATCCCCGGGTACATATACTAGTAGTCGAGAGTTTAGGTGATAGGGATGAAGGTTAGTAAGCTTCCGGCTAAAGTTACGCAATTAGCTCTTATCTTCTTATTATTTGTTTGAGTAGATTTCCATTCTACATAGGATTCTTAATGCAGACATGTTTTGGGTCTTAATCGGTAGCTTTCATAAGTTTAGTTTGTATCTATTTTTTTTTCATTATTAATATAGAGGGTACATAACTAATACTAGTACTCCATATTTACGTACTAATAAGACCATTTGCGTAGTATAGTAATACTATTAATACTAGGGTATCTATTTACTAACTAATATGTGATATTTTGTATACTATTGAGTGTATAATAAATTGATTAGATATTTGCTACTTTTAATATTCCCTTCATATGTGTAAGGGTCACGGCGTTACCTATTACAAAAATGTCACTTTCATTATTGAAACATTTTAAAAAAAGTCGTAACTGTTAAAATTTTATCGCGTTCACTTAATTACCAAAAATGCTACTTTCGTAGCATTTTATATGACTAAAAATAATTTTATTTTTATAAATTTTATTTTGTCTAAAATTTTCGAGGTGTCACACTACTACTATTCACAACTCCCCAAATGTGTGAATCACCTTTCAATTCATTTAATGAAGAAACTGAATAGGAAAGCACTATCCTTACCTTCTATGTGCAACCAAGTTTTTGTAGTTTCTCATTCAATACAATTAACCCAAATTCATCCACACCGGGATCCCAAAATAAATGGACAGTGCCTCCCCTTAACAAGGTGTGCGTGTCTCATTGATTCTTCCTCTACACAACAATTTCAGAGTAAATGTGGTTTCACACAGGGTTGCTTAAAAAGCATTTAATGTGATAGTTCCGTCATTCAAAGTGTTTTTCACAACCAAATAAATGTATTCATAATAAAAATATCATAAATACTAAGTTTTCATAGTACAATACACAAAAACACTTCGGGTAAAAAGGAAAAAAGAATCTAGTCACATTTGTCAAATCCAAAATTGTAAAAGGAGAAGAGAATCTCATTAAAAAGGGAATCCCTACCCTATCCAAAAGTACAAACCTTACCATGTGAATACATAAATTTTGCACGTGTTTCATAGACTTTCATAGCAGTTCTTGGCTAAGATTCTGGACCGCTTCAGATTTTCTCCTAGACTTGTTCAGCTCATTTCAAATAACCTTCAGGCTACTCATCTATCTATCCTGGTCAATGGCGCTCAATTTGGTTTCTTTAAGACTAAAAGAGGGGTGAAGCAAGGAGACCCTCTCTCCCCCTTTTTATTTATCTTGGCATCAGAAGCATTTTATAGAGGACTTAACTGGCACATGCATCAGGGCAGGATCAAACCTTTTTGGATGGGGAATTATGGTTATTCTGTCTCTCATCTCGGTTTTGAAGATGACCTTTTAATTTTTATTAATGGGGAATCTAAATCCTTAAAAAAATTCAAGGACTTTCTGTTATCTTATCAGAAGGCATCTGGACAGTCAGTGAACCTTAACAAAAGTTCTTTTGTCTGTGGTAAACATATTGGTGCTAGGCTACCTCTTGTTAAGGACATCCTACGCAGGCAACACACTGACCTACCAGTTAGATATTTGGGGGTTAATCTTCATAAAGGAATAAATAGATTCCAGTACTGTTTGGGACTTATTCAACAGGTTGAAAGCAAATTATCCCCATGGAAGCAAAAGAACCTATCTCAAGGAGGGAGACTAATTCTTATCAAACATGTGTTAAGTTCTATTCCCTTACACATACTTGCTGCTGACACACTACCAAGAAGAGTGATTAGAGTGTTGGAAAGTAAGATGGCAGATTCTTTTGGGGGTCCTCTAATCACAGAAAAAATACCATTGGCTAAGTTGATCTAAATTGTGTTTACCTACTCAGGAGGGTGGTCTTGGAATTAGAGCCATGGCAAATGTTGAAAAAGATTTTTCTATAAAGCTCTCGTGGAAATGGCAAAAGGACAATTCACTTTGGTCTGATTTCTTTAGGGCTAGGTATCCAAGAGGTGGGAATTTAGTCCCTAAGGTCACAGACTCTTACATTTGGAGAAGGATTTGCAATATTAATTCTACAGCAATGCAGCTATGTGAGATTAATTCAAATGGAGAGATACAATGGTTACCTGAGGATGATGGCAGCTTCTCCCTCAAATCAGCATACAATATGATCAAACAAGAGCTCCCTAGCTCTTTCTCTTTTTCACATGCCTGGCATCCAAAGCAAACGATGCAGATTAAGATTTTCCAATGAAAAATTCTCCATAACATCATCCCAACCACAGATAACATACTTAGATTTCAGATAGTTCTTCAGCCTTCTATTTGCCCTCTTTGCAGAAAGCATGAAGATTCTATGGATCACCTTTTGTACTCTTGTGAAAGAGTCAGACCCATTTGGAGATATTTTATGGGTGTTTTGGAAATACCTTGTTCGCAAAATACTCAGACTATACGTCAAATTTTTATGGCTTGGTGGCTTAAAACAGGCAGCAAGAAGTTAACAGACGTTTTTAAGCACAATTTGCCTGACATCATTTGTTGGCATGTTTGGAAAATTTATGCAAACATAATTTGGGGAACGGGTGGGTCAGTTCCTTCTCTGGGGAATTTGATTCAACAGATAAAACTCTACACTCAAGCTTGGTCTGCAAGCTTATCTAACATGAAGCTAACCTCGGTGGGGGATATCTTAAGGGAGGAAAATCTGGTTCCTTCCAATTTCAAGCTTTCTAATTTCAGATTTCAGCTGATAAAGTGGAGGAAACCAACCATGAAATACAAATTAAACACTGATGCTAAGTACTTACCTCATCAGGCATATGGAGGTGCGATAATGAGGAACATCGAAGGAGATTTCGTTTTTGCCATTTCATTCCCGTTAACGGTGTCATCGAGCCTTGAAGCTGAGCTCTACACCATTATAATTGCTACAATGTATGCTATGGAGAAGGGTTTCACAGATTTCCAGGTTGAAACAGACTGTTCTGTCGCTTTGAGTTACATTTTGGACGAAGGAAGAGGAAGATGGAGCGATGCGGTTAAGGAAATGTTGTTGCTTTCTTTTAGGAAAGCCGGGACTTATGGGTCGGTGCAACGTGAAGGTAATTGGGCTGCTCATTACTTGGCAGCCCAATCAGAAGCCCAATGACAAGTTTTCCAACACATTAATGATCTCCCGGGCTTAGCAAAGACGGCTTACTATGCGGATTTTTTTGGGCTTCCTAACTTTAGATCCTTTCACAATGGGTCTGGGTCAACCCCCGTTAGTTTGTTTTCTGAGACTTTTTCATTTGTTTTTCGAGAAGGTATGCCTTCTCTTCTATTGTATCACTGTAATTTTATTAATAAAATCAGGTAAATGTTCCCCGACATTTACCCCACTGATTTTGGCGGTTTGCTTTCCGGGTTAAAAAAAACATAAATTTTGGACGCAAGTTCATCAAATTACCATTAACGCGGACATTTGATGAAAAATTTTCTTAAGCTCTTGTTCCTTCTTCATGTAATCAATGCCTCATTATTCCAATTCTAAATACTCTCATTCACTGGTAAGTTGTTAAGGTTTGCCACATCAGTCAAAACAATTAGTTCAGAAGGAAGACAGAGTTTAGTTTTACGGGAGAGAGAGTAAGGGCATTAGGTAGAGGGACGGGCTTAGGTGGGAGGTATCCGTTTTAAGAAAGTCTAATGACTGAAATAACCTTGAAATTTGTCATTCAAATTAAAAACGGATAAAATGTACCAAAGTTTTTGCCGAAAGAACGACAAATGATAATTGGCAAAAATGTACAGACTATATGCAGAGAAGCTGAAAGTTTGATATGACATGCAAAAGTGGTACTCATCGTCGGAGCAAAAATGGAATTTTTCTTGATTTATACAATTTTCGACTATTACTCCTATTAAATTAAATTAACCTTCTAAATCTAAATGAATAAGAACCCGTATCCATTAAAAAAGTTCCCCGTAAAATATTCATTACTTCGTATAAGAACTGAATAAATAACTGAAGATTAAGTATGTGCAAATAACTGAAAAAGAACCCGTATCCATTAAAAACGTACACCATATAATTATCATTACTCCGTATAATGATGTTTTTAATTGTACTGCAATTTTCTGGCCTGAGTGATTTGATCTGTTAAATATCTGGTGTCTATATTTTATAAGTATCCAAATTTGATCTAGGTTGGTCTGGTCTGGTCTGAGATTCAAAAGTGAAAACAATCCAAGTAAAAAAATAGGGTTTAATGCACCAAACCCTCTCGTGAAATATAAACTCGGCGCATTAGCTCTCCTTGATTTAAAAAATGCGTCAAACCCCTATGTGTTATCATTAATCATGCGTCAAACCCCCTCCAAGAACAAATTTAACTTCAAAAAAGATGAAAAATGATTAGTTATTTTGTACGTAGTATAATTTAGAAATTTTGACAAAGTTACTTGCATATTCAACCATATTATTAACAGGGGCGACCATATGTGGAGTTGGCCAAGGCAAATGCCTTGGGCCTCATATTTTAGTGGGGCCTCAAAAAAATTATTTATAGTATAAATTATCTATTTTAATTTTAGTAGTTTGGAAGCAAAGATATCATGTTTTTGATATATTGATAGTTCAAAGATAGATAAAAAGATTTTAGCTCTAATTAAATGGTAGGCTGGTAGCAACTACTCCAACTAGCCACCATATTAATGAATTATTGAAGTAATGTTTAATTATTTTGATGGTCGTAGTTATTTAGTTATTTTTTATTTTCACTTATTATTACTCCGTATTATATTTGTGAACTTTAGATTTTTGTTGATTGCTTTATTTTTTATCTTTTTGTAAGTATGTTACTGGGGCAAATTTAGAAGTACTACTAAGATTTAGGGGTGAGCATTCGATCGGTCGGTCAAATAACCGACCGATAACCGAATAACCGACCAATATTTTTTACTCAAATAACCGACCGAAAACCTACCGACAACATTACAAAAATCGACCGAAAAATGTCATTCGGTTTCGGTCGGTAACCGAATAACCGACCATAACCGACCATAATCGGCCGGTGGAAGTTTTTGATTAAATTTTTATGTCATGTTCTTCATCAAGTCTAGTTCATCCATACCAAATTTGATCAAACAATTCCATCGGGAAGCTCGTCAAATGATTTTTGGAAGTTAACTGCGTTTTATATGTATTTTTTAGCGCAGTTAACTTCCAAAAATCATTTGACGACCTTCTCGATGGAATATTTAGCTGAATTTTTTTGTGGATAAACTAGACTTAATGAAGAACATGCCATAAAAATTTCATAAAAAACTCCACCGGGAAGAGCCCCAAAATCCGTCGGCCGGACGGCGGTTCCTGTCCGGAATTCCGGAGAGGAAAACTACTCTACTATGGAGTATATATACTTATATATTTTGGTCACCGATAACCGATAAGTATAACCGAATAAAAACTGAATAACCGAATAACCGATTCTTTTTATTTTATTATAACCGAAAACCGACTGAAAACCGATTTTTTCGATCGGTTCGGTCATCGGTTTTCGGTCCAAATAGTCACTTACAACTTGGCCTAATAAAAGAAGTAAAGTTGCTTAAATCGGTTATTTGCTCACCCCTACTAAGATTGTCTCATATCAAATTTAGTAAAGTTTGTGTGACTTTAAATTAATCTTACATTATTCTTACTTTATCATCAATTCAATATCAAAATTTTTTCGGGAATAAGGCTTGGATGTTGTTGTTAGTGATAACTATATTGTCATAAAAGAGTTAACTATATTCTACATTTAAATTTTGATGTTCACTACTCTTTGAATATGCATTTTTTCTTTTATTGTGTATTTTTATTCAATTTATCTTTTTTTTTTGTCTTTTGTGTTGTAAAAATCACATTAATATAATATGTCAATATTAAGTGTTTTTCGTCTGGGGGCCTGGGGCCTCCGGAGTTCTAAAGACGCCTCTGATTATTAAAAAAAGTGATTTCAAAATTGTAAAATTTGTTCTTGAAGATAATTTTGAGAATGATTAATTAAAACACAGAAGGAATTCACGCATTTTTTAAATCATAAAGGGCTAATGGACTAAATTTATATTTCACCTCGGGTTTGATGCATTTATCTTGAATATCCGAAGACTGGATGAGTTCATTTGCTAATCTTTTTTAGTTAATTAATTTAATACTTGGTTAATGAATGCATCTGGTAGTCTGTCTCAGGTACGGTGAATCAGTAAAAGAAGTAAAGAACACCCTTTTTAAATTCTGTTGTTCTTTACTCCCTAATTAACATTTGAAAGGGAAGTAGCAGCTAGCAGCACCACTTTTTTGAATTCTTGAATCTTCTCCCACGTGAAATAAAAACTTTTCCAGGTAAAAAAGCAAAGGCATAAGAATTCAGTACATAATTGCAGATAATAATTTTTTTTGCAGATAATCATATTTCGCTTATTTGTTCTTTTAGTCAAATCCCCATATGACTCTCTACCCTGGAGGTACTACCGAATCTGGTGTACTCTCTCTACGCGGTTTCACGAGGATTCATCCTGGAGGTTACGTTAATTATAATAATAATAACTATAGCTATTATATTTGTTATTATCATTATTATTAGGTCGGAAACACTCAAACCGATTTCATTTTTTATTTTGCTTTTCACTCCTGAGTTTTTTAATTCTGGGTCTTCTTCGGGCGGTACTGCGAAGTTGATTTATACTGAGTCAACTCGGTGGTTGGGGGACTCGTTCTAGTTCAGTTTGATGTTTATTGTCCCATAGATCTGTAAAAGGAGTCTGGGTCTGCTTTTTTATGTTGAGCAAATGAAGGGGTACTTGGGATTGCTGGTATTTATTTTGGTTTATCAGAATATGACTTCTGGTTGGTCCCTCAAGAATGAAGGTATTTGATTTAAAAAAGAGTGATTAGTGTTAATTTTATTTTTCAATGCTAAAGTATGAGATGTTTAGCAGAGTGTCAATCGTGCAGGTTTGGGTGTGTTGAGATCTAAGGAGAAAGTGATTAGTGTTGGAGTATTATATCAAAGTGAAGATTTGAAGAGTTGGAAATATGGAATGGGAAGCTCAAATTTTAGAGGATATTTTGTGTCTCAGTAAGCCTTTTCTTCATTACATACAATTGAGTTTTATCCAGTTTTCACTTTAATCATCACCTTAACAGCTGGAGTATTTGCTATTATATTGATTTTTGATTTTCTTATCTTTATATATCTTGTGATTTGTTTTTTATAGATAATCAGAAGTTGTAAACTGATTGCAAAGTTAGCACTTGCATCTTGGTTTAAGGGTCTCTGAGATTTATTTATTTTGCCTCAGTTAGTTTATATACGGAGTATTAAGCTGATGTTCTGATCCATTGTATTCTATCAATGTTCACATTCTTTTAATAAAAAAAACTAAAATGGGGTTCAAGTAGTTTGCTTTAGGCTCACCGGGCCAGACAATTTTTTTTGAACTACGATAAAAACTTAATAATATGTTTACCCAATTATGACTATTAATACTTTTCTGACTAATAAATATTACTTTAGGAATAAAGTATGTTAGCTTTCTTTATCTAGGATCAATTAGATACTACTACATATTATTTTGGAATAAAAACATGTGAGTCATACTCATGTAAAGTAGGTATGTTTTCTCATAATTGGGATTTAATTTGTACACGTATAATATAAACTGTCCAACAAAAAAGCATCATAATCTTTTAGTGAAAAACAAGTCTTATTAAACTGCACCACATAAAAAAAATTAAAATTAGCCAATTTATTAGGAAAAGGGCTCATACACTTTGATGAAATTCACAATAGGGTCGGCGTTTCTCAATTGACCCATAATGCAGTAGGCCAATCGATATTAAAAGATTGCATCCAATCGATTAGATAATCTAACTTAAGGTCTTACAAAATATGAATCCACATGTCTTTGCTTATTATTATATTTCAGTGCAGGACTCCAACGCACTTCATGGACAAGTTTCTATTGCTTCGCCTTGAGACCAGCCTCAAGGCATCAATAACTTACGCTAATCTTTAGAGGATCTATAATATATAGATCTATCAAATGATTCAAATCATGTTTTCTTACTTTGTAAGTTCTATATAGAGGTTGTCTTTCGCGCATCTCTTTCCTAAGCCTGCCACCGTGTTTTTTGTTATGTTTGTAGGAAAATAACAAAGTTTAGAAGGGCAGCTCATAGGGAATTGCTCAAAGTCCGTTTTTTCCCATTTCATTACCCACCCAGACAAGGTGCTACTGCTCCAACACCATCTCCTTCACCATCCCCATCACAGAGTCCACATGGACCAGTTCCTCCACCTCCACCAGATCCTTCTGTGCCAGAAGTTCCTCGACCTGGACCCACTCCTGTCCCTTCTGTTTCCCCAGCTTCAACTCCTTCTCCCGAAGAAGGTAGTTTTAGAAGCAATTCATTTAGAAATGAGAATAAAAAACGTTCCAAATTATGGATAGTCGCTGCAACAGTTGGTGGATCAATTATGTTTATGGTTTCTGCAATTTGTGTGGTTTTCTGTCAACGCAATAAAATTGCTGTGGTCAAACCTTGGGTTACTGGGATAAGTGGGCCGCTACAGAAAGCTTTTGTTACGGGTATGTCTCTACTTGCATTTAATCATGTCTTATATTTTGATAAAAACAACGTTAGTGCGCTGACCATTGAACAATGTCACATGTGCACTTCGTGAGACACTCAGGGCCTGTTCAGATGGAGGGGTTGAAGGGATCAATTTATATTTTATATATGTAATAATAGCGATATAACCTTTTATTCAGTCCATAGAAACATTATAGTACTTCCTTCCAAAATGAAGTCTTCGTGCACCATTCTGTGGTCAACCTAAATACATACTTTTTAATTTTGTATAGAACTTCAAATGTTAGCAAGGGACAATTAATTTTATCACAATCGTCAAACCAAATTGCGAACTTCATTTTGGTGCAGATGTAGTTTTTATCAAGCTCTATCTTCCAAAACCCTCCATTCAAACTGACCCTAAGTGTCAATTTGGATGAAGGGTTTTGGAGGGCTAAGTTTATTGATATTATAATATACCGTATGTCCATATATGAGATTATATAAAAATCAAAGGAATGACACAATTAAACAATCAATGGTCTTCTTTCAAAAAAAAAAAACAATCAATAGTCTTCTGCTTAGTTTCACATTGTTTTTTAGTCAATTCAGTAGAGACAACGCTCTTGGATACAATACCATTAGGGCTCTGTTTGTTGTTTAATATTCTTTATTTGGCACAAAAATCTCTTTTCCTGGAAAGCTTTTCATGTATTTGGACTTCGGAACTGAAGTCTAGCTTCATTCTTCAGACTTGTGGAAAATGATTTCTTGTTTTATAAACCGGAATTCATTTTCGTAAGACAGTTTTATGTCTATTTTTGTAAATCAAACATTGTATCATACTGTTATACATACAATAGCTGGTTATACAAGAAAAAATCTCCTGGAAACAGTTTGCTTGGGAAGCATTTTTACTGGAATGAAATAGAGTCTAAGTCACACTTGTACACTTTCTTCCTGTTATTGTGGCTTTGATCAGGTGTGCCAAAGCTTAGGAGGTCAGAACTGGAGACGGCTTGTGAAGAATTTAGCAACGTGATTGGTTCTTCATCTGTTCATAGATTGTACAAGGGAACATTGTCCAGTGGAGTTGAAATAGCTGTTTTATCACTTTCCGTGTCATCTGCGAAGGATTGGTCAAGAGATCAAGAATCCCAGTTCAGACAAAAGGTAACATTTTTTGTCTTCTACTTTTATTTATTTGTCACGTGTCTTAAAGGTCCGTTTGAACCCATAAAATGGGAAGGATAGATATATGCTCTGACTCAATGAATTTATATTAGATATTATTTAAAACTCATTTTATTTACTTATTTGTTTGTTTGTTTCTATCAAGTAAAAGCGATGAAATTTAAATTAATGTCAAAATAATTTAAAAATAATACTCGTATTTCATTTCCTTTCGCATTTCTCAAGGTAACAATGTAGCTTTACAAAGCATTTATTTTTTTCTCTAGCATTTTTTTTGTGATCCAAACATACTTACATACCCTACAATTCTTAGATTTTTCGTTTGTCTGGTTGTGGATTTAGATTGAAGCATTATCAAAAGTAAATCACAAGAACTTTGTCAACCTAATTGGATATTGTGTTGAAGAGGAACCTTTCACGAGAATGATGGTGTTCGAGTATGCTCCCAATGGATCGCTTTTTGAGCACTTGCATAGTAAGTCATTGAACTTATCTATTCCTTTTCTATAATTTTCGCAAGTTTCATATCGATGCATGAATATATCACTTCTTTGCTTTGACTATCCTCCATTTTTTATAGCAACATGTTGAATTTTACACTATTCACATGTTCTACTTTGACTACATTTTATTTATAAATTAATGAGATTTTTTAAAAAAATATTGTTCAATTCGTCTCATTAGAAATTTTCAAAATCTGTTTTTTAAATTTATTTTACTTAGAGAAAATGAGATATATTGACAGTGAGAGATGTGCGTTAGCAAATGTGAAAAGTTGACAATTGCAACTAAAAAAGAATGGAGGAAGTATGTCATTGATAAGATATACATGGTTTGATATACTTAGGTGAAGCATATTGATTTTAGGGAAAATGGAAACTAATAATCCAACCTTTTAACGGTCTTCTTACAATAGTCTCACCTTTTCATTATTCATGAATAATCCAACCTTTGCACCTCAGGTCCTTGACCGATTTATGACATGTTATTCCAAGTTATTTTCTTATATTTGTAAAACATTATACCATGATTCCCACCTTATGATCACAAAATGTTTTGCAAAGATAAGAAAATACCTTGGAATAACAGGTCATAAATCGGTCAGGGACTGGTGAATGAAGATGAGGTGCAAAGGTTGGATTATTCATGAATAATGAAAAGGTGGGACTATTGTAAGAAGACCGCTAAAAGGTTGAATTATTAGTTTCCATTTTCCCTTGATTTTACTGGTGTTGTGGTTTTTTATTCTCATTAGGTTTAGGATCTTGGTGTCCGATCGATTTAGGGCTTTAGGCCCATTATTGGGACCTTAGTACAGTACAGTGTGCTTTGCTTTCCATACCTTATAAAAAGAGTACATCTAGGGAGACATCACAAATTCAGACATTGTAATTGCATATAAGGATCCATATTCATACCTTGGGCAATGTTTTAGATTGCGTCCTGCATAGCAAGGATTCTTTCGGAACTTCAGGAAGAACTGGGGAAAAAATAGAGAGAAATATTAAGGAAAGAAAATTTGGGAGTATATTGAAGAGATACTGGGTTAATGTATGTATAATGACAAAAAGTTAGATTTAATGACAAATGCTTTACTAAATTTAAGTCATGGACAAAATTGTGACTCCTTTAATGCTTAGTGACCATATTTGACCGGTAAAAAAATATTCAGATTTTCAGTTCCAAGGTAAAGCCAAGCATAAAAAATAATTTCCCGTAGCATTAAAGTGATCCAAACAATTCCTAAAGCCATGCAGATTCTTACACCCCCTCTTCACTTCCACTGGAGCAGGCAGTAAGCTGAGCCCCTTGCTATCCTAGGTGGATGTAGGGTCGGCAACAGCCATGTGCTTACATAATTCAGAGTCAAATTAATTTTCAAGACCCGGCATGTTTGGCTTTTGTTTTCCAAAATCAAAGTGAAAAGCCGAACGTATACCATTGTCAGGCATCTCTTTAGCTTTTCATCCTGTGACTAAAAAAGTTCTACAACTTTTTTTTATGTTCTATGCCTCTGCAATATTATAAGAACTATACTGAGTATTTATATGCATATATACAACTTCATGTGTGGACTACAGTTAGGGAGGCAGAACACTTGGATTGGGCAACACGAATGAGAATCATGATGGGCATGGCCTATTGTCTCGAGCACCTTCACCAATCGACCCCTCCCCTCTTCCCTAATACCCTAAACTCCTCATCCATACTCCTTTCAGATGACTACGCAGCCAAGATGTCAGATTTCGTCCTTTGGGCTGGGGAGACATCAAATGGGCCAAGCAACGTGTACAGCTTCGGAGTGATCCTATTTGAGATGCTCACGGGCCAGTTGCCCTACTCAGACAACACTAGTGCCCTAGAGGATTGGGCATCATGCTACCTTAGAGGAGGTGGAGGGCTAATGGCTGACCCTACTTTGGATGGTTTCCAGAAGGATCAAATGGAGAGAATAGGCGAAGTGATTAGGTCTTGTGTTGACCCTCATCCGGGACAGAGACCGGGCATGGGAGAAGTTAGTGGTAGATTGAGAGAGATAAGTGGGATAAGGGCTGATGGGGCAACCCCAAAAGTGTCCCCTCTTTGGTGGGCAGAACTGGAGATCATATCGACTGATGAGGCAGCTTAAGGGTGAATTGTAAGGATTGTATGTTTGCCTTTAGGGGTTTGGGGGCTTAGACATGAAAAAATTGGTGTGCTTCCTGATAGGCCTCTACCCATTCTTTCTTACAGGTACATAGGAGTGTAAATAGCAAAATGGGAAAATGATGATGTTTTTTTATACTTTATTTTTGCATATACACGAGAAAATAAAAGAAAATTGATATGTTTTTCCTTTTGCCCAAGAAGAATGCAAGTGTTTCTTTGTAGCAAATCATAATAGTGGGCGGAAAAGATATAAACAAGCAAAGCTTTCAAATGGAATTTATTAAATCAATTTCTTGGGGATTGTTTACTAACACATATATTTTCCAGTTTTTTATTTTTGGTATCCGTTCTCCAATTTTCTGTTTTCATTTTCCAGTTTTTCTATTTCTAAATTTTTGTTTTCATTTTTTAGTTTTCCATTTTTAAATCTGAAAACATGTTCATACAATTTTTTCACCCGGTTCTGTGACCGACCAAAAGATTGAAAATACGATCACAGTACGGAACCAAACCTAGTACAACCCAAGTAGGGTACTGGGTTCCATGTATAGGAAAGTCGGGACTGAAATTGGCCGGTCCCGGTCGATCTCAACAGTTAGTTTGATGAATTCTTTTCCCATTTCCGTATTGGTTGGACAATGGACAACTCAACTGTTCTTTTAAAACTCTTCACTTTAAAAAATGATTTCGAAAAACCGAGACTGAACCGCCAGGTCATTGACCGGCCCAGACAGGGATCGTCGGGTCGTTTATGGGATTGGCCCGGGACCGCCGGTTGTTGATCGGACCGAACACAGATCATCGGGTTATTTGCCAGACAAGATGGGGATCGTCGGGTCATTGATCGGAAAGGGGGGTACCGTCGGGTGGTTGACCGGACAGGACAAGGATTGTCGGGTCATTGACTGGACAGGATAGGGACCGCTGAGTCGCTGCCTAGACTAAATCGGACCGGGACTGCCCAACCATCGGTCGGACCTAACAAGTACCGTCGGGTCATCGAGCGGATCAAACAGGGGCCACCAGGTCATGGACCGAACATGGATCGACGGGTCGTGGATCGGATCGGACAGGGATCACTGGGTCGTCGACCGGACCGGGACCGTCAGGTCTTTGACCGGACTGGACCGGGATTGCTCGGCCGTCGACCGGACCGGACATAGACCGTCGGGTCAATGACCGGACCGGATCGCCGAGTCGTTGATCGAACTATATAGGGACCATCGGGTCGTTGACCGGACCTGACACCGGAGCGGAACTGAATCCAATACTAGGCGTAAGTATGAAAATTCATTGCAGCAGCATTGCAGGCTGCAGCATCCGCGTTTTCCAAATTTGAAAAACTAGTAAGTCACTTCTCCAATTCATGAAGGAAAATTCTAGAACTGGCGCTTATTGCTTGCGTCAATGCGTTTTGTATTGTAAGTTCTGAATTCGAGTTTAATGCATCAAACCCCCTGTGATATGGAAATTCGGCGCATTAGCCTCCTGTGATTTGAAAAATGTGTCAAACCCTCTTATGTTTTAATTAATTATGCGCAAAATCCCTTCTATGAACAAAGTCAATTATCAAATAAAAGAAAAATGATTAACATTTTTGTTAGTTTTAGAGATTTTGACATATTTACTTGCATATTCAATCAAAATATTAGGAAAAGTGATTTCAAAATCATTAAATTTATTCGGGGTTTTGTGCATGATTAATTAAACACAAGGGGGTTTGATGCATTTTTCAAAACACAGGAGGGTAATGCGCTGAATTTCTATATCACGAGAGGGTTTGGTGCATTAAACATTTAAACCCTTCTGAATTCATTTCATTTAGAAAAAAAGGGCATGGAGCCATGTGGAAGAAATAGAGAAAGGAGTGAGATTTTTAGGAAAATAACACGTGGATTATTTGAGGGCAAAATGGTCTTTTATTGAGCCATCTCTTTTCTTATATATAAAACTTTGTAAAACTTTTAATGTAGGTTTTGAATATGTAAATTTTATTTGCTACAAATGATTTGTGTGCGGATAGGAATTCGTTTGCTTTATCATCGGTCAAGCCTCGTAAACTGCAACAGGACCATCAAATTGGGATGGACGGAGTATAATTTTATTTTATACATAATTATAGAGACCGTTAACAAATTATATTTTTATATATTCAATATTGATCTCAAATGGAAGATCACACAAAATTATGAATTTTGATATATTTTTTATAAAAATTGGAGCAAAAACGAAAAAGTTATAACATTTTAAATAAAATTGGGCTTTTTTATAGTTTGGGCCCCACCAAACTAAATAAAATATTAATAAACAAATGATGTAAAATTTCCGTGCTTACCAAAAACATTTGAGGGGAAGACCATAATCGGAAACAACCTTTTGAAGTACTCCATATAAGCCACAAAGGGATTTAAGGTTGAAAGTGTGGGGATCTGTTGAGGTTGTTGCCGAAACTTGATTTTTGGTGATGGTTGTGTGCGCATTGGAAATGAGTGAAATGTGGAGGAGGTGAGAATAATACGGAGATGGTTTTTCATTTTTTGGTGAGGAAACGTTTCTGCTGTTTTTCAAGGATTTTCCATTCCAAAGAAGATGAAGGGATGTGGCAGTACCGCAACAAAGGAGTGAAATGCGGTTAGATGAACACGTAGGCTTTTTTGAGGGTAAAATGATCTTTAGAAGAGCTATCTCTCTTCTTATATATAATACTAGACGTAGTATCTGTGCGATGCACGGGGTGTATCTAGAATAGAAATAAAATTCATTTAAAATTATACGTAATATATGTTTATTTTTATCAAATAAAAAAGACAATAGAGTTATATGTTTTATCTTTGATTATGTAATAGCACCTATAGAAAAAAAAATGGTTTGTACTATAAATTGCAAATAAAAATAAAAAAACGATAAGGTGTAACAATAAATTCCATGTGGTAATAGAATTAATAAATGATGACACTTCATCTTTGAGGTCTCCCAGAACTGATAATGGAATTAATGATATTATAATTATAAGTAGGTCTCATTAAACTATAAAACAGACGAACCATAAATGTTTACATGAGGTGTTTGAATCTACTTCTTAAAACTGTTTCTGTTCTCTGAGAGTGCAGAAGCTGATATTGGAGTGTTTGGGTTTAAGGGTAGAAGTACTTAGCTTCTAAATGGTCCAAATTACTCCTAGAAACGATTTTTTAGAAGTTCGGGAAAACCAACTTCTGAAAAACTGAATCGATTTTACGTCTTCTTTTAAAAAAGTAGAAACATAATGAATTCCAAACACATACTTCCTCCGTCCCGAAAAGGTTGGCCAAATTTCCTTTTTTGGATGTCCCAAAAAGATTTGTCATTTTCATTTAAAGTAAGGAATATGTGGATAAAATTAATTCTCTCTTCTCTGTACAAATTTCAACCACACAATTTTTACTTTATTAATCCACGTGAAAGTCAACTTTGGCCAACCTTTTCGGGACGGAGGGAGTACAATAATAAGTATCATAGAGTATTAAAATGTCTATAAACTTCTTTATAGACCACAATATTAGTGATGTTGATAACACGCCTCTCATCATCACATATTTGAGTCCTCAACTTACTTCATGACCCTTGACATGGTAAATGTGTAATTTACTTTGCGTAAAGACATACTTTGGAAGATATATGTCCAATTGATGCAGAGATTGTCCTTTTTTATCATCATGACAATTAAATGAAATGACGATTGGGATTTACCTATATTGATATTTGAAAAAGATCATGCTATTTGACGGGCCAATGATAATCGTGGAATCAAAACATTTTGACCAATACTTTTGACGGAGTAACATTTGCCTCCAAAAAGCATTTACTCAATCGAATAATAATCAAGTAAGTTCCATTACATAAGTAATGTTATCGTTCCTTGTTTCTCATTAACATAAAAACAACAACAACCTTTAGTCTCAATCTATGGTTATCCCTCATGCATTGATGGTCTTAAAAAATCAAACTCTTGAGTATGCACTTCATCAGAGTCAACATCAATGTCATCTTCAAGTGAGAGTGTGTTGTGAAAACGCAAATATGTCTTCATTTATCCAGACATACATGAAATCATATTACTATTGATAAAATAGTTTGTGGGTGTCGAAATAGCTCTTTGCTAAAAATATGACGATCAGTCACAGACTATCTCTTTTCTTATATATAATAATATATAAATAGAATAGATGGTGTGATCTAGTGGACCCACCGAGAGCGGCTCGGGTGGACACTGGGTCTGGTTTTGAATGGGTTGGTTTGCGATCCTGCCCACCTTATACCCATAACTAGGACTGACAAAATTGTATGGTTGTCTGGTTCTTATTCGAAACGGGTTGTGGGATGGTTTTTAGACTTAAAAAAATTGAATTGGAATAGGCCGATCCTGGACTAGTTATATAGAACACATTTACTTCACAAGTTATTAAATGGTGTTTATTAAGACTTGTGTCAATAGGCGGTGCGTAAAATAAGTAGTGTTATAGTCCGTCAGTGGCGGACCCAGAGATTAGTCAGAGTAGGGGCACACTAGTAGTGAAATTCTTGGCCGGAAGCGGCGGCATTGATTTTACTCTAAGTACTAGTAGTGAAATTACTGGCCGAAAACGGGGGCACTTGCCCCCCTAGGCCCCTCCCTAGGTCCTCCACTGAGTCCGTGTTTACTTCACATGATTTAAAACACCGTTTATCATTAAAATATCCAAAATAACCTCATACGTACACATACACACAAATATTCATGTACACAAGCATATACGAAGTATATAATGCATGGGTGCCCACCCCCTCAGGGGCGTAGCTAGGGGAGGGCCAACCCTGGCCCTGTCAAAAATTTTAGTGTAAAAATATTCCGTGCAAATTTTTTTCCAATCTTATTCTTTGTACCGGCCCAGTGCTCTCGCTCCGCCCCTGTAATCGTATCCATTACTCCCAATTTCAACCTTACACCATACCTACCCAACCTCCTGACCCCTTTCCCTACCCCTACCACGACCATACCCCCACCCCTTGTAACACCGTCCCTAATTATATTTACTTTTATGTAAATCATGTATTGAACCTTATAAACTGGTTGATGAATTTACGAGGTTGTAAATTTTTGTTATTACTTTTGCGTGAATAGTGAATTGCACATAGGGCCCACATCAGGAGCGGGGACCACCCGATAATTTCGAGATCACATATTATACATGTCTTGGTCT